TCATATGCATTATAATATCATTCAATATCTGATTATCGTTCTCTTGATCTTCAAGTAAAATTTTCTAAGAGGTATAAAATAAATATTATTTAATAGCTCAAATAGCGTTACTTATAAAATACTTACGCTTACTACAGCAAAATGTTGACACATAGATTTTGTTACTCCTTTTGTCGCCAAAATTTCAATTTGTTTAATAACATTACTCAGCAAAGATATCACGAATTTTTTGTTTTCTCGTAAATCATTTTTATGTATTACTTCTATCCATTTAGAAAAACTGTCCTTGTCGGATGCTATCTCCATTAACAATAAGTCTGTCACTTTTGACATCTCTTTTGTAGTTAAGAGTAATATTACATCCGTATTAAATTGTAACATAGACCTCCAAGAGTATTCCAAACCACCTATTAAACTGTCAAGTTTAATAAAACATTTGTCCGATGTATTCTGAGATATTTTAATCTGTTGCAAAATAAGTTTATTCTGAAATTGTAATATATTAATTTACATAAATGAAATAAAATTTTCACAACAACTTAGAAAGATAATAATAACATACCATGATGTCCTTACAATTATCTTTGCCAAAATTTGTGATTCTTTGTATTAGTTGTTGCCACTGATCTTCTAATATTGGAGAACTTAAGTTCTTGATGACAGCTTTTTGTACATAATATTTTAAAGTATTTTGAGTTTCGTTCCATGAATATATTGCACCTAATAACATAACAATAATCTTCTTGTTATGACTCAAATGTAGAACTCTGTCTACCAAAAGCGACAGAATGTTTCCTAAGTCATCAAGAACATTTATAAATTTTGTGTGGGAAGTTAATGTCCCTGTGTGCTCAATAATACACACACCATTTAAAAATGTAATAAGTAAATTAATGGCTGCTTGCATAAAAACTATGTTTTTACCTATAACAAATTAAAAGCTATTTTAAATATACCAAAAAAAATATTTTAAATTAAATGTGTAATTAGAATTGTTATAATTACATGTATCATTAGATTTTAGTACTTCCATGCAATCGGTCCGTAAGTGATACACAAGTGTCCTTAATATACATACACCTTGCGAATTTGTGATATTATTTATAGACTTCATAAATTTTTCTTTAAATTCATATGGAAAAAACATATCAAGTTTTGTACTTGATCTAACATTATCAGAATATTTTAATGATATCAATATCGATGAAATTAATTTTTCTTCTTGCCTTAGGTGTACAACAGCATTCATAATAGATGTCATTAAATTTGTATATTCTAATGTTGAATTTCCCTGAAATGCTTTTCTCAGTATCTCTTGAATTCTTTTCTCGATCAGAAGAGGATTGAAGGAACAAAACTGTGATATTAAAATATAGTCTATGGTATCCATAGTTTCACTTGATAAAGTATTATTTATCATATTCTCACAATAATCGAATAATGTAACATCATGTATTTTATTATCGAAATTGAATATTATATCATTTGAATACTTCAACAAGGCACTAAAGATTTCTTTTTTGTGAATTGCGGTACATTCTATTAATTCTCTCAGTATCAAATCCAATGTAACACTATCAGATTTATATACACCTACTGCCGCACGAAAAATAAAACTAAATGTACAAATGTTGGAATGAAGATTCCTGAATCTTGAAGTTTTTGCTAAAATGGATATTGCATCC